GGAAGAATAGTTTTCCTTCGCCGTACGAGTCAAAATGCGTGTATATAAACAAGCATGGAGGTAGTCACTGCCGGAGCCCAGGATGAGCTGATGCAGAGCCTGGACTACAAGCTGAAAACAAGCAACACCAGCTACGTGACGGCGCGGCATGACGTGCAGTACTTCCCCAGCTCGCTGAGCTCCTTCTCCCCCACAACCTCTAGGGTCTGCCGCATCCCGCTGACCAGCGGCACGTCCTTCATCGACCCCGAGTCCATCAAGATCGCCTTCCGCGTCAGGAACACGGACGGCACCAACCCGCTGGCCCCGGCCACGCCCAACCCCGCCTGCTTCGTCCAGCGCGTCCAGGTCTTCGCCAACGGCCAGCGCTGCGACGACATCAACTACTACGGCCGCACCGTGGCCGTGCATGACCTGCTGAAGGGCAGAGAGTACAACCGCAACAAGGCCATGGAGGGTTTCGACGAAGTGAACGACCCGCGCATCGCCCGCGCGGTGCACCAGGGCGGCTACGCGGACGTGCTGGTGCGCCCCACCATGGTGGGCATCCTGCGCTGCGGGAAGATGCTGCCGCCGCAGCTGAACCTGGTGATAGAAATTGAGTTTGCGGACGCCACCGCTGCGCTGTGGTCCGAGAACGCCGGGGCGCACCCGGCGGGGGCCACGCTGAGCACCGACTTTGAGATCCAGAACGTCCGAGTTCTGGCCTCCCAGGTCGTCCTGGACTCTGGGGCCAGCTGCCCTGCAGTGACGTGCGTGCTGTCAGTTGCCTCTCCGTTGTCCAGGACCTCCGGGATGTTGCCCGTGACAGGTCCTTCAAACATGTTTTCTTAGGAGTAGTCGTTACGAATTCGTAACGATGGCGGCCCCCTTGAATCGCTATGGACCAGGATTTTCAGGCAAAATCGATGGAGTCATCTTGTCGTAGCGTGGTCGTGTGATGCTTTGAGGGAAAATATCCCTCAATTCCGTGCTTGGCTACCTGGGCATGAAGTGAGGGAAAATATCCTTCACTTATCCTTCACTTATGATACCTCGCTGTACCGTGGTTATGACGAATTGACCGATGGCGTCGGACACCTTGGTCTGAAAATATCCCTCAATTCCGTGCTAGGCTAGCAGGACAAGAAGTGAGGGAAAGCATCCTTCACTTATGAAATGCGTCGGTCAAAACACTTGGGACACAGTACTGACACCTCGGCCTGTAGCGCATGATGAATTGACCGGCGAAGCTATGCGTTGTGTGCATAGTTTTACAGGACAAAGCTTGTGTCATGGGGCGACACGGGTCATGAGACACCTCGGAGGCTCAAGCGCTACCTTGTCTCATGGGGCGACACGGACCATGAGACACCTCGGAGGCTCAAGCGCTACCTTGTCTCAGCTGCAGCACCCACCAGCGGCCGGGCATTAATGAACCAACCTTGCGCATTAATAAATCAGCCCGTTCCATCTCAAACTTGCCAAGAACGAAGAAGTCCTCTCGGGAACTTGGCCGTTTTGCGCACTTCTCGGCCCAAAAGAGAGCGGTGGCGAAGCGGTGACAAGCGGTGACAATGACAAGCTCGGCGGGATGGAATTCGCCTGTTTTCCGGGCTGAAAGCGCAATCCTGAGCAAAGTGAGTGTCTGGAGCCTGCTTTCGACCGAAAACGAGCGAAACTTGAGGCTCAGGCATCCCACTTGCCGTCTGACGCGAAAAACAAACTTTTCGGAGTTGGCCGTTTTGAGCGCTTTTTGCACCAAAAACGGAGCCAGACGGAGCGGTGACAAAGGCGGTGACAAGTTCGGCGGGCTGACGTGTCGCAAGCCGAAACCTCGGCGGGCTGCCGCGCTCCGAGCCAGGTCCTTGGCTGGCTGTCGGGCCGCGGAAAACCCTGCGACTCCGGAACTCGGGAACTGGTCCGCTTTTGCGCACTTTTTCAACCCAAAAGCAATGCGGTGACAAAGCGGAGGCGAACGGTGACAAGCTCAGCGGGATGGAATTTGCCTGCTTTTCCGGGCAGAAAACGGAATCCAGAGCATGGCAAGCGTCGAAGGCCGCCCTGCGCTCGCTGCCTTCCTCCAGCACCTCCCTGTACTTGAGATGCCGGACGCTGGTCACCGCCTTCTTGGGCACGCCCTTGATCTTGCGCTTCTCCTTGCGAGCGCCGTCGGGCTGGACCGTGAGGATGCTGTACATCTTGGAGCGCAGGCCGACGTACTCGAGGGTCCTGGCAGGGAAGGTCTCGTCGCCGAGCTTGCCCAGCTGCCCCATCACCTCGATGGCCTTGGCCTTGGCGCGCGCCGCTGCCGAGAGTGCGCTCAGGTCCCTCTCTGGGTCCTTGGACTTGCCGAGGGCAACCGTCTTGCAGGGGCCGTTGGGCATGGGCAGCGTCATTGCGGCTGGGTACATGGCGTTGAAGTCCAAGTACGAGATCCAGCTATGCACCCTGCTCCGTGCCCAAGCACCAGAGATGTTCGCCCTGGTGGCTTTCTTCTCTGCTATAGCCGCACCAATCTCCTGGAAAAAGGCACAGTTCCAAGATTGCCTTGTATGGTGCGGTTGGGAAATTAACTTCGCCCACGACATCCAACTCATGCAGACCAAGCTGGTCAAGTTAGAAAAACTCATCGCGGCCCTCCTGGACAAAAGAAAGGTCCTTCGCAAAACACTGGAGCATTGGGTTGCTCATCTGGGCCACCAGCACAGCCCTGCATTACGATCCTGGGCGCCGCCGACCTGCCTAGCCTACCAGGCTCCATGCACTCCATCCAGCCACAACTGTACCCGGCCTTTCGAAAATCTGAAAATAAAGATTTGAAAATGAGCATCGGCCACCTGGCCTTTGGCTTTCGGCCGGCTCCAAAAAAAATTTGGAGGTCGCAGCAGCGCCGTGCACTGCCTTGACGACATCCCGAGCACCAGCAAGCCTACGTGGGTTTGTGGCGGACCCCAACAACCCCTTCACCACCCTGGGGTCGTGTCTCAAACACGTGCAGCCTTTGAAACCCTTTGCAATCAGCTTTCATACCAGGGCCCAGACCGGCGGGTGTCTCTGGACCCGCAGGTCCGTTGACGCGGGCGTGGGCACACTTGTCGTCTGGTATTTTTAACGCATGGACACGCTTGTCTTGCAACCTTGTTTTCCACAAGGGGGGGAACATCTCGCCCCTTGTCCTGGGTGCACCGCAGTCACCTTCCCAGCAACCCGGTAAAAAGGTGTGCGCCGGCTTTTAGGCAGGGTTCTTTGTGGTTTGAGACTGGAGTGCGCGGGACCTTTAACGATGCAGCTGCGGGGCTTCTGACACCCGTCCGTCCAGGAAACGACCTCGTCCTGTGAAGAAATCGAGAGCTAAACGCCATATCGACGTCTCGATATGCTTGCAATTTGCCTCATAGCTGCGTTTCTGCGACCGACGACGACCGACAACCCCGACCTGCGTTGCACGGGGACCGCCGACGACAGGCGACGGCCAGAAGGGGAACCCCGACGACCCATTTCAACACAGGACCGACAACGACCGACCGAGGGGTCCCAGACATCCCAAAAAAAGGGTTCCCAAAAAAAAGGGGTTTCCTTTGAGGGGGCTCGCCTTGCAGAAGCGCAGCTACGGGGCAAATTGGCTCGGTGTCGATATAGTGCAGGCACGGGGCTCTCTGCAGCACTTTAGCTCTCGATTTCTTCGCAGGACGAGGTCGTTTCCTTGACGGACGAGTGCCAGAAGCCGCAGCTGCGAGCTGGAGCTTTGTTGAATGTCCCTTTGTTGAATCTTTTGGCCTTGGCTGTTGAGACTTCCTCGCCTCATAAGTTCCTCCCTACCTGTTAAAGTGCAGTGTGCTGCTGGGCTGAAAAGGGCCGCAATAAACAGGCAAAGCGCTGTGAAGGAACACGAGTTAAAAGACTACCCTTTGCAAGCAACTCAAAGTTAACATCTACACAGACCCCATTGACCAATTAACCGTTAATTAACCCTATAAAACTCCAAGCCCTCTTGAAACCCCAAAAACAAGGGAGCCAAAACGGAGCCAAAAAAACACTTTCCCTTCACCACGAGAAGGCAAGAAGCTGCTTGATGCAAAAGGATTGGAAAAGCGAACAGCAGCAAGATGTTAGTTTTTTGGGACCCGACTCACCTGTTTTTTTGGTGTGTTGGTGTGTTTTTTGGAGCTTACCGTTTTAATGATGTGTTATGTATTCAATAACCTCCAAGAAGCCAGCGACCTTGGGGGTGCTGGTTTCAGGCAAAAGTTTGGGTGGTTGTTTGGAGGCTTTGCTTGGTACAAATACCAAATGTGTGCTTTTGGGGGTAGAAAACTTCCTCTATATAGGCTTATATACTTTTAAAGGTGCTATTTGTTTTGGGGCACTTTCTATGATGCGCCCGAACATGCAAAGTCAGTGGTAGCCCTCCCCTTTGCTTGGAAGGGACAGGGTGGGTTGGCACACGTTGGTATACGTTGGTGTAGAGTATAGTCTTTGGTCTCAGCATGAAAAGTGGGTAACATTCAACGGCGTTGTTTCTTAGTTTTTGTTTTTTTTGGTCTTGCGCTGTGTACGTTGGTTGAAATGGGGTTCCTGAATCCAAGCTGCGCTGCTGCAGTTCAAAAGACATGAACTTGTCCCTGCGGCTTCTCGTGAGAACTTGGGACTTGACTGACCTAAATGTAAACGCTTGTAGAAAATACAGGATACTCACATACAGAAATAGTCTGTGTAATTTGTTGGCGACATGGTGATTTCACGGTGGAGACCGAGTTGAAGATGTTGCATCTTGATGCTGTATTGAATGGCTTGATTTTGTTGAGTTTTCCAGTTTTGTCTTGATGTGTTTGTGCTTTCTGCGGTTCTACGGTTTCCATTGTTGAGATCGATTTGTTCCTTTTTTGCTTTCTGGGTTGCTGGGACATGAAGCAAGGGAAACGGCTGGTGTATGCGTTGGGTGGTTTTTCTGGTGTCCATTTGTCAGTGTCTAAATCCGGATGTTTCTTCCACCAATGGCCGCTGTGGCTCCAAGATCGGCTCTATCCAGCTGACAGCGTGTTTGGCGGAAAAGGCCATGGAACCCATCGAATGGCTCATCATCGGCCATCAGATTTACAAAGGTCTCAAGTTCCCCGGCCTTTTTCTTTGTTGAACTCACTTGGTTTGCATACAACTCTGCTACGGTGACAGCTAGTGGGTGTTCAAATCTCAACCGCTTGCTAAGCCGCTTTTTCCACCACGCAGCAGATTCCAGGTTTGGGATGAAGGTCCAGGAAGCGGCGGCCAAGGACAAAGCCAAAGCAGAGGCGGCAGCCCGAGCTCGACAAGCCGATTTGCTGGACAGAGCCAAGCATCATCAGCTGGACGATGTGGATCTGTGCAACCTTCTTTCGGATTTCTTGGAAGTGAAACCTGGCCTTTTTTGATCTTTTTTGAGTGTTGTGGTCCGTGGTATGTTGTGTCCGGCATGGATGTTACAGCCCAGTTGGGTCTCACCATCTTCATATTTTCAGCATTTTCAGCTTTCTCAATCTTCCAAGGAACTTCGACAGTGATCGCGACGGCCATTTGGGCCAGCGTGAAATCCTGGAGGGCGCCCGACGTTTGAAGGAGGCAGCGTTGGAGACCAAGGATCCTCAAATGCGTCAATGTGTCGTGGACTACTTGAGCCTCCTTGCTTGGGCATTCAAGGTGAACAAAGCCTTGGAGTTGAACATGCGCGAGACGGTGCGGGCTCTGCAGAAGTATATGGAGCCGGGTGAGGAATGCGATCCAAATCGCGTCCAGATCCTTGGACACAAAGTCTGGTGATCGTTGTCGGAGTAGCATATTTTCTGGGAGTTCTTTTTACCATGGCTAGCATAGTGGGTGGTTTGAGAATTAGCATGAATTATATAGCCGAATTGGCCTTGATAATCTCAGGATTGAACTCATTGTCATCTCCTTTATCCGCAACCCACAGAGCCGCAGCCTAGCCCAGAAGCTCGGGGCTGTTGGCGGCAGCCGCAGCGGCAGCGGCATGGGGCCGGAGACCAAGAAAGTACTCCAAGAGGAAGTGGAAGACGCAGTGAAGGAAGGTGTGAAGGAGCCAACTGCTGCTACAAGAAACTAGCCTAAGACGCCAGAAACGCTACTATGGCTATGAAGCACAGATAAACAAAGTCATCGGGTTCTCGGTAGATTCTTGTGGCTTGAGAAAAATGACGAGAGAGAGGAAGCCAACCTTTGTGTTAATGTAAGATTTCTTACTGTTTGAACCTACCTTACTAACCAAGAAACACTTCTTAGCTGGGCAGGACATGTGCAAGGATGTTGCGCAGGAGGCCACTTCAGAAGTTGCCAAGTGTTTCATGGAGAACTTGCCGAGCTTGCTCTTGCCCTGACCTTTCAAGCCTTTAAAAGCTTGGAGAAGCCTTTGTTTGTGCCTGCAGGGTTTCACCGCAGGCTCTTGCTGGGAGTAGGGAATGTGTCCGGTATATGCTGGTCATTTTCCCGGCATTCCACGCACTGCACTGAAAGCTGAGAGAGGAAAAAAGGATAGCGTCACTCCCACTCCCACTCCCACTCCCCGCGGCAGGGTGGGGTGGGGTGGGGTGGGTAAGAGCGCTCGTGGCACACTTGCAGTTATGTGTTCCATGAGTGGCAGGTCGCGTTTACTGCTTACAGCTGCACCGTAAACCCTGAAGCTTAAACCCCAAACCCTGAACACTAAACCCTAAAGCTCTCGAGCACTTCGAAATGGACCAGGGTATGTGGATAAGTTTTTCCCGAATGTAGATGGTTGAGCATTGCTCATCATAGTTTATCAACATGTATTCCAACTAATCATAATTCATTATAGTTTAGTATAGTTTGTTATAGTTTATTTTTAGATTGTTGTAGCTTTTTGCCTTTTCATCATATTTTATGGTATATTATTATGATCTATTATAGTTTATAATAGTTTGTCATAATTCGTCATAGTTTATTATAGATAGTTCATGTTCCAGAGATCCTCAAAGCAGCAAGCCGAAGCTCGGGCCTAACGTGACCTTTTCTTGGTTTTCTGTATTCTGTTTGGCTCTGGGCTGGCATTTCGCGGATGTCCACAGGCTGCGCTTCCAATCCAGCAGCATCTTCAACCTTGCTTTGTTTGTGCATCAAACTGGCACTGCTGACGCCTTTGCTTCCACTGGCTTGTCTGACAGATTCATGTCACGCGTGCAGGCAAGGATGTCGGCATCCAACGAGAGCATATAACGTCAACAGATCCATCAACAGAGAAAACGGCGAGCAGCAGGCAAGCCGAATTCGCTGGGAAATCTTAGTTCGGGAAACGTGCGCGCACCTGGCAACCCAGGCTTCCCCTCCGCTCACATTGCGTCGTTGGGCACGGTGGTGATTGGAAGCCCCCCTTCTTCTTTGGCTAAAAGCGCCGAACCTGTGTACACAGGCACGCGCGCGCTCGCTTACATGGGCTCGCGGACGCTCGCACGCGCAGGCGCATATGCGTGCAAGCGCAGGCAGGCGCTCAGTCAGAGTCATTCATGTGCATGCGCGCGTGTTGAAAAAACTTTTTCAGAAGGCTCTAGGTGGTAAAGTCCAGGTCGGATTTGGGGGGTGCTTTGGGGCTGGGGCTGCTAAACTTTGATCATGAAAAGGATTTGGAAGGCACTCTTGACTTATTTTTTTATTGTCCATGATGGTCCTTTTGTACTAGAAAAAAACATGGTCCATGGTTTTGACTGCCCCGGTCTGGTGTGCGCAACGTGGAAATCATGGTTGACTTGCGTCAACATTCTTGTCTGGACTTTGGAGACCCTTGGGCTGAAGCTTGCGGAGTGTTGGAGCATTTTGTAGCATTGGCCCAAACAAAGGCGCACCTACTCCAGGAGTGCATGCGTGCAACAGAACAGTAAAGGATTCCATGGGCTATGAACGTGAATCGCTTTGCTTGATCCTTGGAAATTAGCCTCGCTTCATCTGGTGGCGGAAATCGTTGCCAAGGTCCTGCAGCACCGCGGTCGGCGGCTTGCTTGGCTTTGGCTCGATGCGCGATAGGTTTGCCTACCTTGTTGAGACAGAGACCCGCCTGGACCATTGTGGTCTTGGCAACCTGTGCGGGCAGGCGCTTGAAGGGAGCACGGCCGGGAGCTTGCTTTAGAGACTTCTGCGTCCGCGCACAGGTGAGCTTAAACCAGGCCTGCGTTGAGCTTAAACCAGGCCCACGTTGCGTCGGCGCCGAATCCAGTTGCCTGCGGGCAAACTTTCTTGCAAATTGCAGCCATCGTTAACAGACAATGAATCAATGAGCAATGCCAATACACTTTTGCCCCACCCTGGCTGCATGAGCGTTTCGCTTTGGACCTTCCGCAATTTGAACGCGCTTGACTGGACTTTTCTTTTTGCCGTTTTAGCGAGTAGATGTGGCAGGTGAGTGGCAAGATAGTGCTTCCGCTGACATGTTCCGCCCCGAGCGTGGCGTTCGGCCAACCGCGCAGCTTCGCACTCTCGTGGCAGATGATTGCTTTAGAGAGCAAGTGCCCTTTGGCGCCCCGCGGGTTTTCTTGGTCGCAACAAGGCATATCAAAACCTTTTGAGAACTAGAATTCAAAGACATTTGGGCGCTTTTTGAACCGGCGCTGATGGATGCACTTCTGGATGTGCGGTTGCCAATTCTGCGTTTGTTTGAATGGAGGTAGGCCAGCTCTCGTTGATGGGAAACAACGCGGCGAGCGGAAGTCCCTTTTGTGGCTGCCAAGGCGCCAGTGTAGGATGTGACAGCCCAAAGATGTATATGGCTGTGGGTCAAAACCAATGGGATCCTTTTTGGGGTAGGTGCACCACCCATTTTAGTCCATTTTAGTGGGGATTGGGATGTTCACTGAAGGTACGGGATTTTGACCCTTGGCCATATTGAAACACACCTGTGGCTCATCAGACAGCACCTATTGATGCGTATGGAGGGCTTTTGTTTTTGAGCTCGGAAACGCTCAGCAAAGATCTCAGCGTCTGGTTCACTTCGCTTGCGCAGGGACGATGGGCGAATGTAGCTGAGGGCACCTTTTCCCGTGCCGTGGTAAGCACTGCCTGCTGCTGCGCCCGGATGAGATGCGCGAAGAAATTGGCCGAGCGAGCGCGGGCTCCTCTTCTAAACTCAGCGTCTGGTTCAGTTTGGCTCTTGTGCAGGGGAAGGGCAAATGCTGAGGCCAAGTTTGCTCGTGCCTTGGTGAGCGCGTGCTGCGCCCGGATCGCCCAGTCAAAGCTAGTTGGTATGGGTCACGACATACCGCTGAGATGGTGTTCTCTGGCAGAAACAATCCCAACTTTTAATGAAGCTTCAGTTAGCGCGTTGTTGGGCGCTTGAACCTGGAGCAATGAAGCCAGGACGATTTAGCGCTGGTAATCGACATGGCAATATTGTTGTTCATGTTGTCGATATAGCGGTGCTTAGATGTGCAACAAATTTTGCTGAGCAGGCGCTGGCTCCTCTTCTGAACTCAGAAACGCGCAGAAAGGGCTTTGGAGGCAACGATCGCGTGCACTTTTTTCAGCTATTGGCCACGATCAGTTGGCGCATGTCAGGCGCGTTTGGAAGCTTCGTTAGATCGGGAGCAGGCGGCACGCTTGCTTTTCACCTCTTCGATGCGCACCAGCGTCAAGTTTGCTCAACTCGGCATCCAAGCCGTCAACGGCTGAGTCACGGAGGTTGCTGTGCTTGGGCTGAAAACATATTGAGCAACTCCTAATTATCCATGTGGCCAGAGAGATTGCCTAGAGAGTTTTTCATCTGCCGCACCCAAATGCGGGCTGGGCGCTGAGTCTGAAGATGTGAAGCACGTTTGTGTGTCATGTGAGCAAGGAATGCAGCTGCATCCAACTGCGAGCCCTTTGCCCCTCGCGTGCCACTCGCAACTGCGAGTTTGTGGCACAGGCTTTGACTCAACCTCAGCTCGTGCTAGCTTGAGCTATCTTAAACCCAGCAATGGTCCAGTTCTGTTGGCAGATGAAATGCGATGATTAGATTCTGAGCACCCGTGCCTCCAGTGCAAATCTGGCGCCGGCCAGTTTTGGCCGCTTCAGGCTTCAACTCGTTGAGGTAGGTTTTCTTGTGGCAAATTGGTCTGACCCTTGAGTTTCGACTCTTTGGACAAAGTGTTTCACCATCAAGGGCCAAGATGATTTTCTTATTGCAAGTAGGCCAACCGAGCTTTGAAACGAGATGAACTTGTAGGCTTTTTTCCCTAGATCGAGCCGCGAGTGCTGCACTCAGATTTGCCACCGCCCGTAGAGCTGTGTAGCGACTCGCTCTGGCTGACGCAAGCGTGTGGCCCCGGCTTTCTGCGTGCCAGCTTTCAGGTTTCCAAGTTCAGTGCTCGCCGGAGGCTGGACACCTAAGAAGCTTTAGGCCAAGTAGGGCCGGCGCAAGACCGCGGATGAGACTCTGAGAAAGATGTGGTGTCGATAGGCACGTCTGTGCGTGAGTGAGGGAGCAAAGAAGGCAGGTGCAACCAAGCGCGCCCAGCTCGCTCGATTTGCACTTCCATTTCCGGCTCTCCGGGAATCGGCTCGGCCTGCTGCTGAAGCCCTTGGTTGGCGTTGCCTGACTCAGAGCGTTGAACAGATCCAGATATTAACATTGGCTCGTATAACATTTAACTGCTAACTATTGCTTGGATGGCAGGTGTGTATCTCTGAGCATTTTAATCTTTGATAGACTCAACTTTCTCTAATGGTTCCTAGACTCAAGTTAGATCGCTAGCATTCGGGCTTTAATTATTGCTGTGTGTCGATGGTTATGAAGAGGTCTGATCGCTGGAATGGTAAATTCGATAATTCTTTCTTCTACAAGCAGTTATCTTTGTGGCACAGAAGCACATGTTTGGTCAAGCAACAACTGCCAGTGGGATATAAGTATTATAGACAAGGTTGAAATTTGAGGCTCACCCGCAAAAGTCACCTTTTCGATCTTGGGCTTTTGGAAGCTCTTGAGCATGGCCAAGGCACAGAGATTACACCCTGTGAGGGAGGGGTCACATACCTGAGACCAAATTTGCAGGTTTTTAGCACCCTCCTTTTGAGTGCTAAGCCCAAGCTTTGAATCTTGGAGCTACAGAATCCTAACTGATCCCTATTGCCATGCCATGCGTGTCTGGCACGCATGGCGCAAAAAAGGCCAAAGCCACGAGGAAAGGGCTCTGGGAGATTTGTGAAGACTTCTAATGAGCTTGGAAGACTGTGCTTTAGCGCCCGTGCGGCCGGGTGAAGCGGGTCTATGTTGTGCCGGTCGATACGCGCGCTTTGCCGGTTGCCCGGTCGCCCGGTAGCCTGGTAGCCCGCTAAACGTGGAGTCCGGAGCCCGGTATATAGGCTCTGAAGCTGTTGAACACAACATGGGCGGCTTATTTAACATGGCTCATCGAAAGCTCTGTAAAGCATGACCATTGGTTTAAGCACTATGATATTTCAACATGGGAAAGGATACCCATAGGGCCGAAGGGAGTATTGATCAACCCCTGCTTAGACTTCGGTGGCCGAAGTTTCTGAGTCGGAGACTTTGCAAGCAGGAAATGGCCAGTTTTTGGCCGGCGCAGGGCACTTTTGTAGATGGGCATTTGCAGGGAGTACATGGCTCTGCCTTCGCGCCCCAAATCAGGTCACCGCATCGGCGACATTTTTATTTTTTATTTTTTATTTTGATCAGATGAGCCCAGCCTTTTGCCCACCTGGCTCTCATTTTTCGGGTCCGAGCTTTTGACTTCTTGAGCTCGACTCTAAGCCCAAAGCTAACTCGAGGACACATAAGGACTTCATCTTGGCTAGCGACCTGGGTCTGTCAGTTTTTCCTCTCGAAGGCGCGGTCCGTGAGCTCAGCCTTTTGCCCGAAAGCTCTGGCTCCGATGGCGAGCCCCGAGAGCGAGCCGCGCGACAGGGCCGCCATGCCTGACTGCCTGAACCGCACCGTCTGATCGCCGATCTGTGCCAGTTCAAGAGGCACGGCCATCGCCAACGCGTCTAAACCTCGTGACAAATCTGCGACCAAGGAGCGACTGACGCACGCGGTGTTCGATGTGTTGGCAAGCCCAACCATGATATCAGCGTCCCAAGTCAAATGAAGGTACCGTTAGAAGGCGTCATGAGACACGTCATTGTCAGAATGAGCGCCCCAGGGTTGATGCTTGCATTGCTCAAGGAAGGGCAGCGCAGCTCAGCCAGACAGCTTGATGGTTGCTGGAACCTGGCAATACATCTTGGGGCGCAGGGAAGTCGATTGACTTATCTCAAGCATTGCAGCCCCGGCTGAATCTGGGCGCGGAAGTAGTCGGGTCACGCGCAAGAGTTGTCGAGTTGCCGTGACCTGGGCGCTGAGCTGTGGGGGTTCCAGCGACACGCGGCTTGAGTTGCAGTTTCTCCAAGTGCAGTGACGCATCAGAAGTGATCACGCAGACAGATGCAAAGTCTTAGTGCTCCAATGCCACAAGCGTCACTTCCCAGTTGAGACTCCGAAGCTGCTTTGCTGCCGAGGTCCAGCCCAGTTTAAATGTCACCCAAAGGCCCGTGAAGGCGCCGAAGGGACTCGAAAAAGAACATCCTCTTGGGCTCACTCGATCGAGCTCGTTGAGAAGATCATCGAATGCCTTGGATGGCGGCTTTCCGCTTGTTCTTTTTTCCGAAAAACGTGAAAGCCCAGCCAACACGCAAAAACCAATGGCAATGGGTTGATCCCATAGCCGGGAGCCAGAGGCCGGCGCAGATCCGGCGATGCCCTTCGGCGGATGCCCAGGAAAAGTGAGGTTGATTTGTCGTGAGCGGTTTCCTCTCAGCTGAAGAAAGGGAGAAAAACACGCCGGCGCCCTTCTCAGGTGAGGTATTCGGCCCGTAAGTTGAAGGAACAGTGAAGCTCGTGCTGTTTGCATGAAAGGCTTGCCAGGTGTGCGGTGCAACATCTGCCTGGTTTTGAACTTCATTGTGAAGAGAGTGAAATGATGACCTTGATGCAATGTCCTTTTGTTACCCGAAGCAACACTGTTGCAAAGATGAGGGCCCAGACAGTGTCGCTGCTGCGGGCCCTTGCTCTGCAGCAGGGGCTGCCTCAGTGTTGTTCAGGAGTCGGAGTTTTCGCAGGGCTCAGCATGAACTTGCCGGCTTGCGACGAGCTCTGACTCCATCAGAAGCCCTATGGACCAACCGTGGACTCCTCATTTTTTTGCCACGACTTCAGATCACGCATCTCACAGGAGATTCTTTGCAGGGCTTTCGCCTGTAGATCGGCCGTTGTGCGCACGTCAATCGTGCGAGGCCGAGCAATCCGCAAAAAGACCCAGGTCCTACTCTAAGACCCAGTTGGGTGTCTTAATAGAAATCGGACCCCTAAAAAATGGCTGGCTTCCCCCTTTGTTTCCCCTTTTGCAACCAGCTTGCATTTATGCCTTACTTATCCTTTCCTCACGTCTACTTTCCTGAGGTTTTGTTTTGCAGCAGTGGACAGACAAGACGCATAGCATTTGCTGATCATGATGCCGAACCTTTCCTCTTGCAGCCGTTTGAAGCTCTCAAGCTCCACCTTGCCCGTTTCGGACACTTCGACATCAGCAATGCTGTGTGCTCTTGTGTCTATGATTACCGCCAGTGTCGTGTTGGCAGACACTACCCCCCAGGAGAGCAAAGGCGCCTGTGCCTTGCAGACGAAGATGAAGAAGGAAGAATCAGCGAAGGTCATGTGCAGCGCGCATGAGGTCATGTGCCCTGATCCCACAACCGGGACCGACAGCTGCCACCCGATGAGCACAGGCTGCCCAGTCACATGTGCAGCAGGTGAACAGGTGTGCCATGTTCCAGCGACGTGCGATACTTGCAGTGGCTACAGTTACTGCTCGTCCTACAGCTGCCCCGTCTATTGCAGCAATGACGAAGTGATGTGCCACGACGCCACAACAATGACAGACAGCTGCCACCCAAAGAGCGCAGGCTGCCCAATCACATGTTCTACGGGGGAGCATGTATGCAATACGCCACCATCTTGCGAGACTTGTGATGGCTACAACTGGTGCTCTTCACACCCTTGCCCAGTATACTGCGCCGCCCACGAAGTAATGTGCCATGACCCCATGACCATGACGGACAGCTGCCACAACAAAACTGCAGGCTGCCCAGTCACATGTCCTGCCGGGGATCATGTGTGCCATAGCCCGCCTCCCTGCGAGAATTGTGATGGCTACAACTGGTGCTCTTCATACGCTTGCCCGGTGTACTGTGCAGCCGACGAAGTGATGTGCCACGACTCCACGACCATGACGGACAGCTGCCACCCGATGAGTACCGGCTGCCCAGTCACATGTGCAGCAGGTGAACAGGCGTGCCATGTTCCAGCGACGTGCGATACTTGCAGTGGCTACAGCTACTGCTCGTCCTACAGCTGCCCCGTCTATTGCAGCAGTGACGAAGTGATGTGCCACGACTCCACAACAATGACAGACAGCTGCCACCCAAAGAGCGCAGGCTGCCCAATCACATGTTCTACGGGGGAGCATGTGTGCAATACGCCACCATCTTGCGAGACTTGTGATGGCTACAACTGGTGCTCTTCACACCCTTGCCCGGTATACTGTGCAGCCGACGAAGTGATGTGCCATGACCCCATGACCATGACCGACAGCTGCCACCCGATGAGCACAGGCTGCCCAGTCACATGTGCAGCAGGTGAACAGGTGTGCCATGTTCCAGCAACGTGCGATACTTGCAGCGGCTACAGCTACTGCTCGACCTACAGCTGCCCCGTCTATTGCAGCAATGACGAAGTGATGTGCCACGACTCCACAACCATGACGGACAGCTGCCACCCAAAGAGCGCAGGCTGCCCAGTCACATGTCCGGCAGGGGACCATGTGTGCCACTCGCCACCATCTTGCGAGACTTGTGATGGCTACAACTGGTGCGCTTCATACCCTTGCCCGGTATACTGTGCAGCCGACGAAATAGTGTGCCATGACCCCATGACAATGACGGACACCTGCCACCCAATGAGCAGTGGCTGTCCAGTGTGAGCGTGTTCGCGTGTTGCGCTGAAGTACGTATCCATATCCGGAGTGCCATGGCCAGAAGTAGTCCATGTGCACCCTTATACTCTTGAGCGCTAGGTTTGAACTTTTGACAGCGAGGTTCCCACATGCGAACTTTAGCTAAGTCTCTGCCATTACCACTGGCTTCACAATTGATCACAGACACACTCGATATTTGGTGTACGTGGTCATGGCAGTGTTGCATGCTAGCGTTGACCACAAGGAGGAGTCAGCTAAGTTGGGGTAACCGACTTCAGCGACCTTCCGGGGTGCTTCTCCGCTTCAGCGTTCGAAGTGTGGATCTGCTTTTGCTATGAGAAAAGGAGGTTGTGTTCAAGGGTAACGTCAGAAACAAAGGTCATTTCCCTTCTGGGCTAGGCTGCGGCTCTGTGGGTTGCCGATAAAGGAGATGACAATGAGTTCAATCCTGAGATTATCAAGGCCAATTCGGCTATATAATTCATGCTAATTCTCAAACCACCCACTATGCTAGCCATGGTAAAAAGAACTCCCAGAAAATATGCTACTCCGACAACGATCACCAGACTTTGTGTCCAAGGATCTGGACGCGATTTGGATCAAACTGGCCGCTTCAGGCTTCAACTCGTTGAGGTAGGTTTTCTTGTGGCGAATTGGTCTGACCCTTGAGTTTCGACTCTTTGGACAAAGTGTTTCACCATCAAGGGCCAAGATGATTTTCTTATTGCAAGTAGGCCAACCGAGCTTTGAAACGAGATGAACTTGTAGGCTTTTTTCCCTAGATCGAGCCGCGAGTGCTGCACTCAGATTTGCCACCGCCCGTAGAGCTGTGTAGCGACTCGCTCTGGCTGACGCAAGCGTGTGGCCCCGGCTTTCTGCGTGCCAGCTTTCAGGTTTCCAAGTTCAGTGCTCGCCGGAGGCTGGACACCTAAGAAGCTTTAGGCCAAGTAGGGCCGGCGCAAGACCGCGGATGAGACTCTGAGAAAGATGTGGTGTCGATAGGCACGTCTGTGCGTGAGTGAGGGAGCAAAGAAGGCAGGTGCAACCAAGCGCGCCCAGCTCGCTCGATTTGCACTTCCATTTCCGGCTCTCCGGGAATCGGCTCGGCCTGCTGCTGAAGCCCTTGGTTGGCGTTGCCTGACTCAGAGCGTTGAACAGATCCAGATATTAACATTGGCTCGTATAACATTTAACTGCTAACTATTGCTTGGATGGCAGGTGTGTATCTCTGAGCATTTTAATCTTTAATAGACTCAACTTTCTCTAATGGTTCCTAGACTCAAGTTAGATCGCTAGCATTCGGGCTTTAATTATTGCTGTGTGTCGATGGTTATGAAGAGGCTGGAATGGTAAATTCGATAATTCTTTCAGCGACCTGGGTCTGTCAGTTTTTCCTCTCGAAGGCGCGGTCCGTGAGCTCAGCCTTTTGCCCGACAGCTCTGGCTCCGATGGCGAGCCCCGAGAGCGAGCCGCGCGACAGGGCCGCCATGCCTGACTGCCTGAACCGCACCGTCTGATCGCCGATCTGTGCCAGTTCAAGAGGCACGGCCATCGCCAACGCGTCTAAACCTCGTGACAAATCTGCGACCAAGGAGCGACTGACGCACGCGGTGTTCGATGTGTTGGCAAGCCCAACCATGATATCAGCGTCCCAAGTCAAATGAAGGTACCGTTAGAAGGCGTCATGAGACACGTCATTGTCAGAATGAGCGCCCCAGGGTTGATGCTTGCATTGCTCAAGGAAGGGCAGCGCAGCTCAGCCAGACAGCTTGCCTGGCAATACATCTTGGGGCGCAGGGAAGTCGATTGACTTATCTCAAGCATTGCAGCCCCGGCTGAATCTGGGCGCTGCAGTAGTCGGGTCACGCGCAAGAGTTGTCGAGTTGCCGTGACCTGGGTGCTGAGCTGTGTGGGTTCCAGCGACACGCGGCTTGAGTTGCAGTTTTTCCAAGTGCAGTGACGCATCAGAAGTGATCACGCAGACAGATGCAAAGTCTTAGTGCTCCAATGCCACAAGCGTCACTTCCCAGTTGAGACTCCGAAGCTGCTTTGCTGCCGAGGTCCAGCCCAGTTTAAATGTCACCCAAAGGCCCGTGAAGGCGCCGAAGGGACTCGAAAAAGAACATCCTCTTGGGCTCACTCGATCGAGCTCGTTGAGAAGATCATCGAATGCCTTGGATGGCGGCTTTCCGCTTGTTCTTTTTTCCGAAAAACGTGAAAGCCCAGCCAACACGCAAAAATCAATGGCAATGGGTTGATCCCATAGCCGGGAGCCAGAGGCCGGCGCAGATCCGGCGATGCCCTTCGGCGGATGCCCAGGAAAAGTGAGGTTGATTTGTCGTGAGCGGTTTCCTCTCAGCTGAAGAAAGGGAGAAAAACACGCCGGCGCCCTTCTCAGGTGAGGTATTCGGCCCGTAAGTTGAAGGAACAGTGAAGCTCGTGCTGCTTGCATGAAAGGCTGGCCAGGTGTGCGGTGCAACATCTGCCTGGTTTTGAACTTCGTTGTGAAGAGAGTGAAATGATGACCTTGATGCAATGTCCTTTTGTTACCCGAAGCAACACTGTTGCCAAGATGAGGGCCCAGACAGTGTCGCTGCTGCGGGCCTTGCTCCGCAGCAGGGGCTGCCTCAGTGTTGTTCAGGAGTCGGAGTTTTCGCAGGGCTCAGCATGAACTTGCCGGCTTGCGACGAGCTCTGACTCCATCAGAAGCCCTATGGACCAACCGTGGACTCCTCATTTTTTTGCCACGACTTCAGATCACGCATCTCACAGGAGATTCTTTGCAGGGCTTTCGCCTGTAGATCGGCCGTTGTGCGCACGCCAATCGTGCGAGGCCGAGCAATCCGCAAAAAGACCCAGGTCCTACTCTAAGACCCAGTTGGGTGTCTTAATAGAAATCGGACCCCTAAAAAATGACTAGCTTCCCCCTTTGTTTCCCCTTTAGCAACCAGCCAAAAGGGGTTTCGGATCCCCTTTAAACACCAACCCAACTCGCCTTTATGCCTTACTTGTCCTTTCCTCACGTCTACTTTCCTGAGGTTTTGTTTTGCAGCAGTGGACAGACACGACGCATAGCATTTGCTGATCATGATGCCGAACCTTTCCTCTTGCAGCCGTTTGAAGCTCTCAAGCTCCACCTTGCCCGTTTCGGACACTTCGACATCAGCAATGCTGTGTGCTCTTGTGTCTATGATTACCGCCAGTGTCGTGTTGGCAGACACTACCCCCCAGGAGAGCAAAGGCGCCTGTGCCTTGCAGACGAAGATGAAGAAGGAAGAATCAGCGAAGGTCATGTGCAGCGCGCATGAGGTCATGTGCCCTGATCCCACGACCGGGACCGACAGCTGCCACCCGATGAGCACAGGCTGCCCAGTCACATGTGCAGCAGGTGAACAGGTGTGCCATGTTCCAGCGACGTGCGATACTTGCAGTGGCTACAGTTACTGCTCGTCCTACAGCTGCCCCGTCTATTGCAGCAATGACGAAGTGATGTGCCACGACGCCACAACAATGACAGACAGCTGCCACCCAAAGAGCGCAGGCTGCCCAATCACATGTTCTACGGGGGAGCATGTGTGCACTACGCCACCATCTTGCGAGACTTGTGATGGCTACAACTGGTGCTCTTCACACCCTTGCCCAGTATACTGCGCCGCCCACGAAGTAATGTGCCATGACCCCATGACCATGACGGACAGCTGCCACAACAAAACTGCAGGCTGCCCAGTCACATGTCCTGCCGGGGATCATGTGTGCCATAGCCCGCCTCCCTGCGAGAATTGTGATGGCTACAACTGGTGCTCTTCATACGCTTGCCCGGTGTACTGTGCAGCCGACGAAGTGATGTGCCCCGACTCCACGACCATGACGGACAGCTGCCACCCGATGAGTACCGGCTGCCCAGTCACATGTGCAGCAGGTGAACAGGTGTGCCATGTTCCAGCGACGTGCAATACTTGCAGTGGCTACAGCTACTGCTCGTCCTACAGCTGCCCCGTCTATTGCAGCAGTGACGAAGTGATGTGCCACGACGCAACAACAATGACAGACAGCTGCCACCCAAAGAGCGCAGGCTGCCCAATCACATGTTCTACGGGGGAGCATGTGTGCAATACCATCTTGCGAGACTTGTGATGGCTACAACTGGTGCTCTTCACACCCTTGCCCGGTATACTGTGCAGTCGACGAAGTGATGTGCCATGACCCCATGACCATGACCGACAGCTGCCACCCGATGAGCACAGGCTGCCCAGTCACATGTGCAGCAGGTGAACAGGTGTGCCATGTTCCAGCAACGTGCGATACTTGCAGCGGCTACAGCTACTGCTCGTCCTACAGCTGCCCCGTCTATTGCAGCAATGACGAAGTGATGTGCCACGACTCCACAACCATGACGGACAGCTGCCACCCAAAGAGCGCAGGCTGCCCAGTCACATGTCCGGCAGGGGACCATGTGTGCCACTCGCCACCATCTTGCGAGACTTGTGATGGCTACAACTGGTGCGCTTCATACCCTTGCCCGGTATACTGTGCAGCCGACGAAATAGTGTGCCATGACCCCATGACCATGACGGACACCTGCCACCCAATGAGCAGTGGCTGTCCAGTGTGAGCGCGTTCGCGTGTTGCGCTGAAGTACGTATCCATATCCGGAGTGCCATGGCCAGAAGTAGTCCATGTGCACCCTTATACTCTTGAGCGCTAGGTTTGAACTTTTGACAGCGAGGTTCCCACACGCGAACTTTAGCTAAGTCTCTGCCATTACCACTGGCTTCACAATTGATCACAGACACACTCGATATTTGGTGTACGTGGTCATGGCAGTGTTGCATGCTAGCGTTGACCACAAGGAGGAGTCAGCTAAGTTGGGGTAACCGACATCAGCGACCTTCCGGGGAGCTTCTCCGCTTCAGCGTTCGAAGTGTGGATCTGCTTTTGCTATGAGAAAAGGAGGTTGTGTTCAAACAAGGGCAACGTCAGAAACAAAGGTCATTTCCCTTGAGTCGACCAATTGCTCAGAACAACAGTCAGTGGTGATGACAGCCGTTGTGATCACCAACCCCTTTTTCTATGTTGGACAGTTTTTCCCCTTTAAAAGAGTTGGCAAAAGGGGGCTATCCTTGCCACTTTCTTCCTCGATCAACGCGTGCACGCGCCGAAAGCCCGCGTGAACCTTTCGCCGGGCAATCGATTTAACTTGCTCGCCGCGTGCGCCCAACATCCCGTTGCCTAGCGAATCCATTGCACTGGGTGTTGCTAGATGTGCTGGACACCAGCACAGAGCCATCTCAAAGCAAAGACAAGATGGATCCGGCGAAGGGACTCGACCGCCGACTCAACCAAATTGTTGCCAGGAGCTAAGGCAACCGGAGAGCGTGAAAATGCCAAGGATGGGCACCTGCCGTGTGCCGTGCTCCGCCAGCTTTCGATTTAACTTTCTCTCGCGGTGTGCCACCATTGCCGAGCGGATCCGCTGCCACTGGGCGATAGATCAGCAAACTGACTCAACCGCTTGCTGCGAGCTGCAATTTGCTGCTTGCCAATGAGCAAGCGACCTGAGAGCTGAGGCAAAATATGGCGGAGAGGCACCCGCGTTTTGAGTTTGGGCTCTACCAGCTTTTTTTATTGCCCCTCGTTTTTGCACAAAGAGTTAGCTCGATCTGATGTCGCATGCGAGAAGCAGCTCTCAAGTCTCGACACCAGCAAACGCAGACAGAAGAACAGTGCTCTTGGGCAGAATTGTTGATTTCCGGATCCCAGTTTGAGTTTCTAGGAAAACTGCCTTATCGCACGCAATGACGGACATTTGGGCAGAAGGCCGGGCCGTTTCGGAAGTCTGGGCATGGAAGGAACTCCATGCTTACGAACGAGCGGCCTGAAACAAGGTCCCTCAAAGTGAACATTGTGAGGGCAAGCTTTCTTTGCAAAGTGGTTGTTTCCCCCGGTTGCCCCCAGAGTTCCACCATCGACCGGATGGGTCTAGCGAATCCCGAGTCTAAATGTGAGCCCAGCCTCTGGGAGCTGATTTTCTCCGGAGCTCCGGGACTGGGCGTCGGGGACTGGAAGGAATCTGAGAGCTGAAATGCAAAGCCGCTGGTGGTCTTTGGCATCGGTGCTCACAATTGTGTTCACCGTATGGCTCAAAATATGACCACTGCAGCTTCTTTTCTTCTTAGTCCTTTCCTTGAGTGACCTTTTTTTTTTTTTGGACCACGACAGCGTCACATGGCTGTGGGTCAAAACCAATGGGATCCCATTTTGGTTGGTAGGTGAATTCACCACCCATTTTAGAACCTATTTCAGTGGTTGGATTGAATCAGATGTTCACTGGAACAACGATTTGGATTTTGACCCATGACCATGTAAGGGGGGGTTCCCAAACGGAGGGTGCACCTACCAAAATGGGATCCCATTGGTTTTGACCCCACAGCGTCACCTCCTGGGTGGTTTTCCGATGCGCGCCGAGCTTCTCGATGTCGGAGGCTTCACCTCGGCGCAGTCGGCCCGGACGCCGAGGTGCAGGGAGGTGCAGGGAGGTGGGGCCAACTTGGTCGAAAAACCATTTTTCTTTCGTGGAAACCGGGTGTAGGGGACTCTAGATGATTCGAAGGGAAACTGCAAGGAAGTCGATCTTTCTTTTTGGGATCCCAAATGGGGAGACGGCCACATGGTAACGAACCAATGCAACCGTAGAGTTAAAAGTCGGGATACACAAAGGGGGCGGTAACCGATCAACGCTTCCCCTTCGTTGAAGCAGGGAAACTAAAGGAAATCGTCATTTTTTGGGTACAAAGCCGACTAGTTTGACACATGTCATTCAGCTTCTGCAGAAAGTCCAAACTTGTCACGAAGAATCAGCTCAGCAATTGTCCCCCCCTGGAAAGAAATTTCAAGTAACCTCCAGTGGCCCAATTCGGTAAATACATCCTATTTTAGTACGGGGTCGACATCATACCCTGAAGGGCATTTGGAGTGGGGGAAAGATAAAGAACAAATTGCCACACTTCCTTTCAGTTTCATGTCCCTTCAGCTAGATACTCCAAAGTCCTTGGGTCCGCAGCTTCGTGCCATTCGAAAGTGCTCACGTGATTCCCGATTTTTGGGAGCACCATTTCTTCGCTGAATCGAGATTTCGTCCAAAACCCCAAGGCCTTGATTTTGGGAGCATAGGTGTCCTTTTCAGTTGATTTGGTTGAAAAACAGAGGGCGATCCCTGGTTTACCTGGTGGTTCAATTAACTACCAGGGCCATCTATTTTCCCAAAAAGGACACCTATGTTGGGAGAATTTCCAAACGCCCGAGCGAGTCTTCCTGTCTTCCGGATCCGCCCATCCGCTCTGTGAGCTGCCCAGTCATCCCCCAAAGGCGCTGAAGGAGGAGCGCTTCTTCGATGGGGTGCAGCACACACCTCGGAGAGCCGAGGGCAAAACGGCGATTGGAGTTGGGGTTGGAGGGGGGGGTTTGTTGGACCTAGCACAACATAGTCCTTTGTTTGGACAAGGATACATGTGGCCCTTGACTTTGGGTTCAGCCGGAGAGACCGCCAAAAATGTGTAGGATTCTTTTTCGACTGGAGCCACTTTTGTTGGTCTCTTCACTCCCGAAGTGAAATCCGCGTCAAACAAAACAGCTTCTGGATTCCCAACTTGGGGGGTTGTTTCGTGAGATCCAAAGATAGCACCTAGGGCTGAGGAAAGAAGCCGATCTTTTGTTTGGGTCCTTTTTGGTTAAACGCTTCCCCCCCACAAGAAATGTGGATGAACATGTGAATCAAAGCTTACTAGAAGGGTCTTCCAAAGGGCTCTTCCGTGCTTGGAGATTTAAGCGAAGCAAGTTATACAAGCGAATTTGCAACTGGGGTCACTGGGGGATAGTTCCCTTGCAAACCACAGTAACCAGCTTCCGGTGCTTGAACATCCAAGCGAACACGCAGCCACATTGCAAGCTGTTTGTTCATGCTCTTGTTCAATGAGCAAAGTTGGCCAAGTGAGCGAGTCTCAAAAGCCGCCCTCCCTCCCAAAGTTCTCCTGTTTCACATTTAAAACCAATGTAACCAGGGAAAAAGCTCATCAACCAAAGACATGGTTCCTTGCATCTTCTCTGTTTTTTGGGGTGTCTGCTTAAAATGGTTTCGTTTTTTTTTTTTTTTTTGGGGGGGGGGCGGGGTGTCTGCTTAGAATCTCCGGTAGGCCTTGGTTTCGGTTTTCCTTCGGGGTCCATGGGACGACCTCTCCAAGCCGCCGGGCGCCGCTCGTAAGCGAGTGATCCATGGCTGGAAGCCGGCGAGGTTCATCAACTCCTGCATGGAGGCGTACGCCAAGGCCTGGCGGGCTGCCTGGATTTTTTTTTTGAATCTACGGGAAAGACAAGGTTTTCCTGCGGAGGTGCTTTTTTCTTCCTTGTGGCCGGGTTTCTGACATAATTTTTGGTGGCTGGCACTGCCCTCCCGCCTCCGCTCTCCCCACATGTCCGGTGTTTGGTGCAATCAGACTCTCGAGGCAAGGGTGTTCTTTTCTTTTTGGCCTAGGCCTGGCACAGGGCTAAGCCTGGCAGGTGGTTGGTTGGTTGGTTGGTTGGTTGGTTGGTTGGTTGGTTGGTTGGTTGGTTGGTTGGTTGGTTGGTTGGTTGGTTGGTTGGTTGGTTGGTTGGTTGGTTGGTTGGTTGGTTGGTTGGTTGGTTGGTTGGTCGGAGGCTCGGTAGGTTTGGGTAATCCGCTTAGGGTTGGTTCAGGCCCGGCATCGTTTTAACATCCTCAGCATCGTTTTCAACATCCTCAGCATCACCAGCTTTTGGTTCAGGCTGTTCCAGGTTGGCTTAGGGTTGGCTCCGGGTGGGTTCCCCTGAACCAAAACCTGGTGATGCTGAGGATGTTGAAAACATGCCGGGCCTGAACCTATCCCAAATGGACTACCCCAAACCTACCCTAAACCTACCCCAAACCTTCGTGCACGCCAGGCTGTGCCAGGGCTAGGCTAATGCCAGGGCTATGCCCAAAAAAAGACACCGCAGCCAGACTAGGCGAGGCGCAAATTTCTGGTCCAGGTTTCTCGACCTTTGACGTTTCGAAATGGAATGACCCTTGTAGACCATTGTGGTTTCCTTCAACGGAATCCCGAGTTTCGCTTCATGAGACATGGTTTCTGAGCCCAAGGAAAACCATCCAGCTTACCTCGGGAGCAAAGCCGCTGATGCACCAGCAAGTTTTACCCAGGCGATGGAAGGTCCCAGAAGCCCCGAAATGGAAGACTTGGTGACCCATTTACAGTCAATTGGGGGAGGTGCCCGGCTATGAGGGAGCGGGAAAACATAGATACTTCACCCATGGGTACCTTTGCACTTTTTCCAGTTTGACATGTTTGTAGACTTCCGCATGTGAGTGGCCCCTTGGAGATTCGATTCCATCGTGGAAGGCCTACGAAAATGGCACTCGCGGGGGTCTTATGCGCTTGAGAAAGGGGCACTCGGCTCGGCTGGGATTTCAGCGCGTGTTTGTGCTGCACTCCCAACCTGCTTCGACCTTTTGTGGAAGATGAGAAAGGATTTTGTTTTAGGGCATCCGAATCCTTCGATCCGCAAGCGGGTTTCTTGCAAACCAAACCTGCGGGGTGGGTGGGGTGTTTTAGCAATGGGTTCAGATCCGATGTTGGGGGACATTTCGCCGCAAAGCGCGACAGGTGGTGGGGGACGAATCCGACCGCATCGTCAAGGAGCTGTGTTGCCGTGGGGCCAAAAATAGGACGCCAACCCCTTTGGGTTGGAGCGGAAGCCCAAATAGCACCCACACAAGTTTTCGGATGCATTCCGATTTTTTCTTGTTTTGTTTTGGAGGGTAAATCCAAGTGGCTTCCAAAAGAAGCTTTGGCAATTCCGCTGGTCTTGTGTTCCGTGACCCTCCCACGCTGAAAAGCCAACCCTAAGCCAACCCGCCTTCAACAAAGCCCAACAAAAGACCCTCAACCTTGTCCTAACCCCCCTAAACCACTCTATATCACTCACAAAGCAACTGCCTTTTTCAAACCTTTAGCCCAGGTAAACCCGCCTTAAACCCGAACCCAACTTCTGTGCTGCCCAACAAGCAGGCGACGAAGGTCTCATCGGCCAAACGACCAAGATGTAGGTTGCATCCACAAAGCCGCTGATAAGCACTGGGCAACCCGGCTTCAACAACTGCCTTGGTAGCGAGCCGCAACCAGCTGCAAGCAGTTGGTGTCTTTTTGTTTGCCACCAGGGTGTGGGTGAAAACCAATGGGATCCCATTTTGCGGTAGGTGAATTCTCACCACCCATTTTAGGCTTCCTATTTGAGTGGCTGGATTGAATCGGATGTTCACTGGGGGATACCCGATTGACACCAGCGGCGCAGTTGCATGGGCTACGCGGACTGGATCTGATCGCTCTGGGTATATTCTTCGATGGGTCCCACGTCGAATCCGCCAGTCTGCCCCTTGTCCTGTGGGATGCCTTTCCGATGTCGCTGAGTTGGCTCCTTTGGACCCGCAAGAGCTAGCAGAGAAGCACTGCAAGCCAGAAGTTCCATGCGGCTCATTTGCAATTTGCAAAGGCGAGAACTGGAAGTACTTGGGCCTACAGGATTTTGGAAAACCTCGGTTTATCTTTGCTTGCTCCGGCCTGTGCGATGACAGAGCTGCAATTGATCATCCTTCTTGAGCAGGAAAACATGAGTTGTTGATGATGGCTGCTAGGGTGGATGCCGCCTCCATGTTTGGGGCTTGGGGGTACGTGACAAGTCTCAGAACTTTAGTCGGCAGCTTTTGTCTTGCTGGCTGTCTGATTATGATCCGGGAGTCATGCCACTCGATGGCAGCTCGCCCTTTTGTTGCTCCTCGTCCACGATTCTCGTTTGCTTGAATCTTGGCTCCTGCTTGATTGTTCCACAAGGGACATAGCCCGACACATCCGCGTCCGTCCACGGTCCGTCCGCAGCTTTGGCTTTTCAACCATGGAAGCTTCACACGTCCCTTCCGCGTCCCTAGTGGTAGCTTTGGGCCTTGAGCCGGCCAATCCAAAACTGCTGCGCCGACTACGCGAGAGCATCCAAGTTGTGCGGCCCAACCCACCGCCGGACAACCGCGAAGAACGAGCTGCGGAGCAAGATCGCGATCGCGCCCTGGCCAGAGGCTTGCTATTGCAACGAATTGAGATCAGTTCGCCCTTTTGCGTCGCGCTCCGAAAGAGCGCCGAACTGTATTCAACATAAAGCTGGGCATGTGTCATCAAGCGTATTGTCAGACAGGAATTGCAGAGGAAGTCGAGCCCAAGGCAGAATGGTGGCAGCTGAATGGGACGAAGGATTTGAAAGCTCGTTTTCTTGCTAAAGGCTTGATTATCCTTGCTTGCTGCTTCGGAGAGACAACACAGAGGCGAAGAGAAGGGAAGTTTGGGAAAGGATGAGGGGAGAGACGTAAGAGAATAGGAGGTACCAGGAGAACAAAGAAGCAAGAAAAAGACAGCTACAAACATTTAACGAGGGGGGAATGAAAGTATCTTGCTTCCTTTCGAACAGTCACATAATTACATGTTACTTCCAATTGTTCATTTTTTCAACGAACATTTGTTTAAAACAATGGGGTTGTTTCAGCAATTTCTTGGCTGTTTAAACATGTGCTTTTTGTCAAACCCTTGCCAAGTCGTCATTGTTTCAACAAACAGCCAAACATCAGGCAGCAAGCAACAGCACATACATTTGCAAAATGGTACTTTTGCAAATTCCTAGTCTCCACATTCTCCATACACAAGCATGCTGGAAAGCTCCGGAATGCACCGCAATGCTTTAAAACAATTGTGTGCGTGTGCGTTTGGAGTCAGAAATCCGATGGCTGTTGTCAGGCTTTGCCCGTGGGGCTAGGGGACAAGGCTGCGGTTGGTCGCAGAAGCTACCAATTGCAGTTTTAGAAAACGGTTCGGATGTGGCTTTTGTGAAACCACCCCTGCAGGATATTACAAGACTACCAACAAAATCGCTAAACAAAAGCTACTTCAACATGTGATGTTCATGAATAGTCGGCCTTTTGTTTGTCACAAAACAAAAACACAAGCACAGGAGTTGTTTAGGTTCTGACGCGTTCAAGCCTATAATGATGGGAGGATGAGACGTGTTTGGCATTCGTCCTTCGGCGTTTGGCCTTCTTACCTCCGAGGTGCTAATCCGCAGAGATGAGTCGCTGGGGTTTGCGGCGTGTCGCCTTGCAGTTATGCCGCACTCCACTCCTGGAGCGATGCCAAAACGCGCTCAGTGTAATTCGACCTTTGCCAAAGTGGCCATGAACCGATCGGTTGCTTGCGTTTGCTTCAATGCAAGCTTCACAATGCCAATTCCTCTGACAGAGAGGCCTGCGTTGGGCGGTTACCATGCTTGAACACGCCAACCCCGAGTTCAACAGGACGTGGCATCCGAAGAGACGCCTTATCCAAGTTCGGCTGCCTCGTCAAATTGTTGTGCGTCGGCGAATTCGAGTGCTCAGACAATTTTCAGACATTGCGCGACCGTTGGCCTCTTGGGCAGTGTCAACAGTGACAGGCGCATGATCACATGTTGTGAACTTTCAAAGCTGAATATGGATATGTCATAGCAAAAGTAGTGATGGTCTGCTTTTGGTATCCCTTTAGGTCAGCCTGCAACAGTGAAAAGGGTCCCTCAAACAATCACAGGCCGAACACATGTACATTCTTTCCAACATGAATTGTTCGCGATGAGCAACGCGATTTGCCTACAAGATGTCAATTTGCTGACGATGGGCTTATGGTAAGCACATACACAGATCGTGCGCCACATCATTTGCGGTCCACGTTATGTTCTTAGACATTTTCTCCAGGCCTGGCTAAACAAGCCATGGCCGACTGACCTGCTGTTTCGTTTGTTTCCTGACATGGTGTTACACATCAGCTTTCCTCGAATTGGTGGTTTGGAGCTCGGTTTGGTGGTTGGTGAAACGGAGGGGTTCCCAATATAGCCTCTACAAAAGCCAGGGCTGCAAGTCCCCACCTAAATCCAAAGCTCCAAGCTGGCGGGTTACCTGAAGGACTTACTCATTGACAGGCGAAGGGGCACCTAGTGCTTGGATCGTTGCGAACATGAGGCTCCGAATGACTTGCCTTTCACTTACAGAGACCTGCCCTTGGGCTTACTTGTTTTGCGAGCAGCTTTGCCAAGCGCGGAAGCATGAACGGAAGTTTGCGCTTTCGATAAGAGCTGAGCCACACTCGTTTGGTGGTCATGCGATTGATCCCAGAGCTAGCTACGAATCGCTGAATAAAAGTGCTCAGATTTGACCACTTGACGAGAAGGCTGGTTTGAGTCTGAGATCTTTGGTTCAGCTTTGGCCCGAGAGCTGTTAGCTTGCTGACAGACAGGACACTCAGATTCCCCCGTTTTTGGTTTGCCGGCGACCTCTCCCAGAAGGGTGTGGGCTTAAAGCTGCGGGCAAGGTGAAGTGAAGGGCATTCTTCACCCTCCCAAGCCTCATAGCTCACGCACTGAATCGCATCTGGAGCGCTGACTGCTCAGCCCGCGCCGCTTCCGATTCTTTTTTCAGTGCCGACGGGCCACGTTTCGGTGCTGGCCTCTGGACCATCAAGCTTAAGAAAGGCGCAGGGACATGAACCAAAGTCCCCGAAACCGGGATATCAACACCACCTTGGCTTTTTCGTCTTGCAGGAGTCAAGTGGAACCCTGCGCACTGTCACATGCTCTTGAGCTCTTGACATGCTGTCAACAAAGCCGGTGATGCGTTCTTGCTCACGTCGCAGCTGGAATCTGTGCTCTTAAAAGCACTCATGCGGACTTTCGTGTCTTTGCTGAGAAGTCTTTGCCAAGAGTTCTCTCCCATGTGCACTCGCCGAACATTTATGCATCGGTCCAAAGATTCCGTTTAAGAGGTTCGCTTCTTGAGTGCTCTCCTGGTTCACCCACAAATCCCTCTCCTTTTGGGACGAGGTCGTTTCATGGTTCGCACACACACAGCACACACACAGACACACAGACACACAGACACCGGCACAGACACACAGACAGACACACACACACAGACAGACAGACACACACACACACACAGACAGACACACACACACAGACAGACACACACACGCACACACACACAAGACACACAGACACACAGAGACACACAGACAAACACACACACAGACACACACACACACACACACACACACACACACACACACACACACACACACACACACACACACACACACACACACACACACACACACACACACACACACACACACACACACACACACACACACAACACACCACACACACACACACACACACACACACACACACACACACAACACACACACACACACACACACACACACACACACACACACACACACACACACACACACACACACACACACACACACACACACACACACACACACACACACACACACACACACACACACACACACACACACACACACACACACACACACACACACACACACACACACACGACACACACACACACACACACACACACACACACACACACACACACACACACACACACACACACACACACACACACACACACACACACACACACACACACACACACACACACACACACACACACACACACACGACACACACGACACACACGACACACACACACACACACACACACACACACACAACACACACAACACACACAACACACACA